ATAATGCCTTCTAGTCTGTGAAAAGAAGGCTTCGAAATTAACCATCAACTGCACCTGCCTACTGTCAGTCGTTTGTCACATTGATCGCTCATCCTCTCTTTGCACATGTCAAAAATCCTCATTAGTAAGTGCCGTCTGATCGCTTATAAGATGTTTTCACTTAAATATGAATACTGACTGTGTTAGTGATGCTCTGCTCACAACTAATGGTTGTATAGGACTCTGTGATTTGTGCTCTGGAAAATCACAAAAACCATTTCCAGTTCGTTCATATTCAGTAATGTTTAGTATCTACCATCCAGGCGGTAATGAATGGATAAATCATTACATGATAGCACTACCCTGACTTTCGCTTTTCAAAAAGCGTTGAACAAAAATTTCTTAATGTCATCACCGTTGCCTCATCTTTTGCTTTCACCGTTGTTTTTCGTCTGTTTATGATCGTTTCCCAATCCCGGAATTGAACAAATGATCGAGATTTTGCAAACACTACTCACAGGTGTATTGTCGGCATGATAGCGCGTGCTGGATTGCAACTCTGCACATGCCGGACGACACGATGATGGTGATTTCAGAACTAGTGGAAAGACAAAAAAGTGTTGGCTTACAAGCAAGAGGATGGTATCAGTAGTTTCATCATCCACTTCCTTCTTTTCTTGACCATAAGAAGTTCTTCTGTATAAACTTGTTAGCAATTGTTTATTAACGACTAGAAATTTGAAATGAAGATCATCATAAAATGAACATTATTAATGAATAAATTAGGGCAACTAACGAATAAATTTTTGTGAAATCATGATGACAGTAGTACCAGCAACACAAGTAAGTTCAGAATATTTATTTTTTTGGTGAAGATGAGTGAGAATTTGAAGAACGAATTTACCTATGTGAGTTACAATTTCATCATGTGTGGTCTTGGTTTTTAGATGACAGAGACGGATGAATCTAATCACCATTACAAAATTGTGCATATTCACCTCCACTCATTCGACTAATGTCGACAGCATCGTACAACTTATGTTACAGGGCATATACAATTTTTGATGAATGCGAAAAAGGTAATTCGATCGCTCTGGGACTGGTGATTCTAGCATGAAGCCATGCAAAGTGCAGGTATTCGTTGAAGAACACACCAATAAATGAAGCACTTACCTCATTTTAGCTTCTCTATTATTTACTTATGATTAGCTGATTGCAAATGAGATTGACACTCAATCATTGATTCAGTTGTAATTAGTGCTTCGCTTTTGAAATAAGTCGTCGTAATATAAAAATAGAACCTTAACAAACCTCATTCGTTTCAACGATATTTCATGCCATTGTTGAGGACGATGATCACAGTTCAACGCCACATACCATCAAACTTTTTTCAATTGATATGACAGCACATAAAAGCACGAAATATCAAAGTATTCGAATCGAAATCTGTACTCAATTAAATTGAAAGCAAAGTTCCTTCTATGAACTATATCAAGCAAACCGGATCTCGCAGACCGGTTCGGCTCGGTTCAGCGACACCCATCCATCAATCTCATTTCTAGCAGTAAAATTATCATAGCACGCTTAGTGCGCACACCCAGAAGCAGTGGTGTTTACCCAATGGTCTTACTCAGTTCTTCGGCTTGTGTCTTATAAAAACATGCAATTTATAAAAATTAGAAGGAAAATGATGGAGTTGATACAAGTAGAAGAAGATGATGGAAATGGAAAAACAATGTGTGGGTGTTGTTGATTGTCATTCAATTAAAAACTGAACGCAATTCAGATACCTCTCTCGCTAACGATAAATATTCACTCTTGTTATTTTTGGTGTTACAATTGTTTAATACTTTTTGGATTATTGATTAACGTCTTCAAAAATATTTTTAAGTGAATGCAAAGTTGTGATGAAATAATATTATTCCTCTGAACAATACATGCATCAGGATGGTGTTGATAATGATGATGCTTAGAATAAGTAAAATTTCAAAAAATGATGTGCTGCTGCTTTTGTTCGCCAAATACAATCAATCACTCAAACATAAGAAGGTGGAGATGAACAGAGGTAAATATTCCTCACAATTAAGCCAGTACTATCATCGTTATTTACGACTGCAATGTGCAAAAACGTTGGCTGGATGTGTCGATTTCTTGAATATTGAGTTTTTGCGCTGAAATTGATCTGGGTTCATTAAGATTTTTTTGACTGGGTAGCATTCTGAAAGAAATTTAAGCGAGAGGACAACGACGCTAGAACATACTGCTCATGAGGTAATTTCATTCCGGAGTTCAATGCACTCAGGTCGTTTTTGTGTTCAGTGTACCGAATGAAAAACAAAGTTGAAGCACGCTGTTGTATTAGTAATAAGTTGATGAATGGAGATAAGTATCGCTCGTCGAAAGATCAAATGTTTTGATATATTGAGGACGGTTGGCCAAATTGACGAAACTCAATAAATGTTCGAAATTGACGAAACTCAATAAATGTTTTTACATGAATGATTCCAGAACTGATTTCAATCGTATGCTGACGTGAATAAATAGAAAAGTTTACACAAGATTCAACAAACACCGCTAATAAGACCAGCAATTGCTTGCTACATTTCGATTGTTTCTTCAACAATCATCTAATCTGCGCAACTCACATTGACATACTGAAAGAAATGTGATGAAATTGCGCAATAACTTGATTATTTATGATTGCAAACTCCATGATATCATCTGTAGGCTTACAATTAGCAAAAAACGATGTTTTGGGTCAATCATCGCCTTTCAATCACCAAAGTGAACATCCGTCGCCTCTTCCTTCGAATGTAGTCTGTATTTCAGCGACAGTTTCACTGAAACTTCCAGGGTTTTCGAACTGATTTTTCATACGATGGCAACAACTATGCAATGTTCGTTTTTTGCTATCGATTGTGTTGAAGCTGGTGATTTTACTCATCTTTATTTTTTTACTCATCTTCAATTAATCGCCAGGGAATAACACATTGTGTGTAGTTGTTCAGCTGCGTTATGTTCATGCCAGCTGCGACGATGCTAATGATACATTTTCCGAAGGAATCGTTTTTAAGCCAATCAGCATAACCAAAATGAACATTGCTACGTATTTATGTAAATAGACCAAAAGGAATGTATACTGTATCTCATTGGTTTGTTAGCGAACAACTGAATGTTTCTACATGTAAATAGACTAAAAAGAAAGTATACTGTATCTCATTAGTTTGTTAGCGAAGAGTTTCTGCTAATCAACTGAATTTACAGTTGGTGTTGTTGCTTATTTCAAACATTATTTATGGTTCTTATGTTTTCTTTTCAAAGAAACAATTTCGACGGGGTTCAGAAGCAATTTATGGATAAATTGAGGTGCATAATGTTGATTTTCGTCAACACGACAGAATGTCAAAAACACTAAATAAGATGTGCTATTTTCGAACAAGAATGAACCTCGTGAAAATGCGAATTTTCTTTTCTTGTCATCTTACAATGACACGAAGCGCACCACAACCCGAATAAAACAGTTTGACAGTTTGCTAATCCACTTCTTACTGACATTTCAAATGAAATTTGAGAAATTGCATTGCTGTGATGATATCTGCGGTCTAAATTTGTACACTGTTTACATGTGGACTACGCTCCACAAATTTGATAACCAACCAAAAGAATTCCGAAGTTGATTTCTAATCAATTATGCATATTGTTGATGGGTGTTCATTTAGTATGAACTCAATGAACTTTGAACTTTCTTAATTAATTATGAACTAGCAGCACAAATTTGCGCGCTTCTTGTGCCCATTGTACGCTTATGAACAAGTACGATCAATTCGATTGTTTGAAATCAAACGATGATCACTTATAAGATATTGGAGGCATCGATCGATTTCTGAGGGCGTAGATTTTTTCATTAGAGAAGTGACATCAAATTACTGAAGAATCTTCGTAGAGTGGTATGAAATTTGTGCTAATGTTAATATCTTGAACAGTTACTCCTTCTTTCATACAATATGCCTGCTCAAACAAAGATTATTCCGAATACAACACAAAAAATACTAGTTCCAACTGCACACAACCGATCCGCAATCATTAACTTCATTAAAATGTTATTCATCTGAACCTCTATTAAATGTTGTCGCTGTTGTTGTTGTTGGTGCTGAAAGAAAAATATCATTCATATCGCAATAAACAAAAATATAACGCCTGTATGATGTGAAATTCAATACGAACCATTTGAGTGCTAAATAAACATTGATGATAACGATTTATACTTAAAGTTGAAGTATTCAGTTCACGATTTTCAATGAGTGCAACCACGTCTTTGAGCTAGGTACTTTACTACGTATTCTTGTTTCTGAGCCTAACTCATCAATGCTGCCAAGTAAACGCTCATGAGTATGAATATATTCAAGTATGTATTTTGCAAATGTTATTCAGTTAGGTGAAACAACCGAGTTGATGAAACAACAGGATGAGATGCACTTACTTACATTGTTGTTGGTATCATTAGTGATAGAAGATGGGAAGGTGAAATTTTCTGATGATAGAATGACTGATTGTGGCCTTGTTGAAGAGTGGTTCGATCTGATATGAGTATGCTGCTGCTGACTGGGCTGATGAAACGATAGATTTTCGTGAGTGTGCTGTCTAAAAAATGGTGTTGTTGTGAGCACTGATCGGAGTGGGATAAGATTGTCACTGAGCGATGATAGATTATTGTCGTCTTCATCTCGTCGAATGCGCCTTATTTGTATCCATTCGTATAAACGATACAAACCAACAATTATGAACGTTTCACTGATGATTATTATAAAGAGAATTAGTGAGATTATTTGATCTGCAACTTGATGAAACTCAATTCCGTTTGTATCCATAGATAGATGAATAGATAATGTAAAACAATTTCAGCTTTTCCTCTATTTCTCAGTTGCAATAAATTTTGACAGCAATAGCAGATAAATGAATAATGCATAATTGAGTTAGTGGCAATTTTGTTTGTTCGTTGCTGTTTGTTGTTTTGCTATTCGTTAACCATTATGAACAAGGTCATCATCGTTGATGTCGTCAAAAGTGAGGCACTTATGAAATTGATTATCGTGCATCACATATATTAGTTTTTTCTGGCCTTGACCAGCGGAGTCACTGCTAGAACCTTGCCAGAATTATTAAATCTAACGGAATCGAGTTGGTTGACAGATATTCTTTGTTTGAGAAGAAAGAAACGGTTTTTTTCTGCATGAGGGACGGATTGAGATAGAAGTTAAAAGGTGACGAAAATTAATCGAAATATGCAACTTATAACAACAATAAAGAACCTGACGGACGAATGCAATCAACAAACGAGTGTTCTTTCAATGCTAGTAATGTTGATAGTAGGGCAATCGTAATACGATGCACATTTTGAGGTTTTACCAGAAATGTGCTCATTTGAGCAACGAAACGTGAAAACTTCATCAATGTTCTCTGAATAATCTCTTCATTTATTAGGATCTTGATACTGAATTTGCAGTTGAAACATATACGAGCACAAATTGATGCTCAAATGATCAATGGACAAAACAACGATAGATCTAAATGTGATAAAAGAATTAACACCAGTAAATAGTAAAAATAATTCATTGCTAAGGTGAGAATTTGGATCAGTTTTAAAGAGTGAGCAAAACGCTAAAATTTGGAGAATTATACGAGAAGTTGAATCTTATTATTTCGATTATCAATCAATATTGTTTACCAAGTAACTTACTTTAACGTCCCGTCTGCACTGTTGAGAGAGATTCAGTAAAATGTTAAGTACATTGGATAACCTGAAATAATCGACATCTACAGTAGGCTTCGCATCTGCTTTGGAATCCTGACATTCTCAGATTGAGCTTTTGATCCGAATCCATATTCGAATTTGATATACAACTGCAAGAACGAACCGTTTGTCGTGCCATTGGTCAACGAATGCAATCTTGATGGCGTTACCTTCTAATGCCGACGGTTCGACCACTTTTAGTTGCGTAGGGCTGAAAATATCACTTAATATCTTTACACTAAAAATCTTCTTCGAATGTTCTTGAATCCTCAATTCTGAAACAGTTCAGTGACTAATACCAGCGATTCCCAAGACATAGTTTGTGAACTAAAACAAATAGGATCGCTTGAAATTTCAAAACCTCTGAGAATTAATCGCACTTCGAAAAAATCATGTGTACCTTCGAAACCAAAATTTCAACTCTCGTTTGCAGACAGTTAGGAACGCATTTCGCAAATATCTTAATCTCAATTCGAAAATATCTGAAAATGTATTTCCGTATTTTTGGATGATAGAGAGTACCATTTTCTAGCAAAATGTGCGTTCACATCTGAAAGCTTGTTATAGGCACCATTACACTCGATAAGCCTCCCCATACAAAATATTTGTAAATGGCGTTATTTGAGTGTAGTAAAAACACTGATCGCATTGAAGAGCACTTTGAAACTTTGTCTTATCTATGCGGCTTACTTCAGCTTGCAACATGTTTCCTTTCAGCTACGCAGTATTCAATAATCATTTCAGGTGCTGAATAGTTATCTTAATCGCTGCTTCAGCAAACGATATGATATGATGCTGTCAACTGCTCTTCCTGTGTTTCTCATCTGGGATAAACTATTGATGACATTGTTAAAGCGAGTCGCATATGAATTTGGTGAACCTGCGAATATCGCATATTCGTAAGGATAGCTGTACCACACAGAACAAATTTAAACAAGGGCATGAATTTATTAATAGTGAATGGGACTCAATAAAAAACAGTGCTCCCAAGTTACGTAGGATTAAGAGAAACGAACGCTGCATGAAACTGTTCTCTTTTTCTCATCGCTCTCAAATGTTTTCTATGATTATTTTCGACATTCGAAAATGATGCATAGAAATAATATGCTTATCTTGCATATATTCGAGATACACTGATTTTAATTTTTTAAATCGAATAATTTAGACGAAGATCTGAATTGCTACAAAAATTCGTGAATCTCAATGAGCCAAAGACAGGCAAGCAATGAATTAGCTAACAGTTAGATGGTGAAACGAGGTTATGTGAATGATTCGTCGTAGAACGATGATAGCAAATTCTAGTTTGCATCAAACGTGAAATAGATGCTGATACTGATAAATGATACTTGTAGTTATCATGACTGCATTACAATAGGCAAACAAAAGTGATGAAAATACACATTCCAAAATCAATGTGCTTGTGCATATCAAATCAACTAACATAAAGAATATTTCGAACAAAAGTGTGTGAATCTGAGGAGTACGCAAGCACAAATACTAGAGCTTTGCACTAATGCTACCTTAATATGACAGAGGCTTCGTCTTCACCGACTTGAATTTGGAGGAGAATTCGTTGAGCGAATGTTCGCATTATTGTAATGGAGAAATGTATTCGACATTGACATTTTCCTTTGTAATCGACCTCGATCAACTGATCGTTAGTCGTGTAGCGAATATTAAGGAACTGCGGTCGTGGATACCAGATTGTCGTTGGGTGCAGGAGAGTATAGGTGATATTCTTGAAACTTCTTGGATCCCATGCTATCGATTCATCGTGCCACTTCTGAAACAACCATTTGCTGCTTACCCATTTTTCAAACCTTGTTCTTCTTCAGATGAACACTTCATATAATATCATTTTTCTTTGTGATATGCTCAATTCAAAATCATTTTTCAATTTTCAAAATTTTCAATTCAGCAACCCAGCAGAAAGTATCAACGGCACACGCGATGCTATATCGACTTCCAACTTTTTCGAGGACTTATTACCATAGTAACTCATTGAATATGACGAAATTTCATTGTTATTTCATGATAAAACACACAGAACCCAATTTGGAACAGTCAAGTCAAGCGCATTCGCATTCTATAGCATAGTTGTTTACTGAATGATAATGCAACGTTGCTACATAACGTTGAAATGTTCACACTTCATAATCACTTGTTTAAAGAGTCTTCTGTGCTAACCAGTGATCAATTGCATACATGTTATCGTTGCATCCATCAGAAAGCAGCGAATGAAAAGGGGAAATAGTACGACTGAAATGTTGTCAGCATTTAGCACTAACTGCTGTTCACTCATGACTTATGAACAATAATCACATGTGATTGAATGGATTGTTGCAGCTGGGAAGGAACTAAGTTCGTGCAAATGTATTTGGGCATAGATCGATTGGTGTAACAACGGATAGTGGATGACACAATGACTTAACTCGTCGTATAAGAAACACCCGGAAAAAATTGTAAATTTGTCGCTCACCAGTTGTATATCGCCATAGAGGATCAGCTCATCCACAGCAATGTTTTCAATTTTCGTTAGAGTGATAAAATTCGTCACAAGAACATAGGTGAATGGCGGCGCCTTGGCAGATGATCCATATACCTTCTAGAATAATTCATTAATTGATCACCATCATTTTGTTGTTAATCATTCAATGATCAAATAAAATCCAATCAACCATCAGAATGCTAATTTTTGATTTCATTAGTCTAGTATTATCAGATCAGAGATTACTCACACTAATCTCTTGCTCAAGATTTGCATATTCCATTCTTGTTGGAACAATTGCTTGAACTTGAAGCCACAAAGCGACATTAACTAATAAGAGCATCACCAGTATTACGACCATCACAATGAATTATTATTAACGTTTATGACGACAGCAGATGATAATGATTTGCTTCTGCTTAACGTACTGCATCGCCCATCAGGTAGCAAGCATTTATCTGAGCACATTCATCTCCGAGACACCAACACTTCTGTTGTTTCTCTATCTTGTGAAAGCTTCTCATTTTCAGCAAAAATCTTCTCATCATGCACTTTATCAGATAAAAGACCTCCACCGTATTTATTGTTTTTCTTTTCTTTTTGATTTTTTTTGAAAAATCACTTTCGCAAAATATTTTGATGGTATGTGCTGGCATTTGCTGATTCGTTGATATTTTTGATGATGTTGCCATTGTGAAAGTACTTCTTCGAAATTGCATTTCACGCTTTCCGATGCATATACAAGCTGACTGATTGCACGACGACGGCAAAAGTTTCTTCTTCCTTTCACTGAACACTTTCTTCATCTATTATCTCATGAAAAATGACAGTTTACTCATGCACCATTCGTCGAATGCTATCATCTATCAATTCATTTATCAAATGCTCATCGATCACTTCGATTATTCATTTGCATTTTCTCTTAAATTTTCGAGTCTTCTCATATCGTCGTCTTTATCGCCGACGGATACCATATATCCTCTCTTGATCATTCATTCGACCGATGTGTGAATGCACTGCGATGTGTCATTAACCACACACGCAAGTAAAAACATATATGAAAAGGCCACTTCGAGTGAACCAAACCCAAAAGAAACAAGGCTAATTGACACTACCGGCTCCAACAACCATTCATTTAAACAAATGAGATAGAAAGCATCAAAAACTCGTCGCAGTAATTGGCAAACGTTACACGACAACAAACCACTTATGGGGGTAAGTCTTCTCACATAAGGGCTGCTTACTAAAGATCACATGTTCCTGCATTTTCTGATGCATCTAAAGAAATTCATGGATATATGCATTTAGAAATAGAGCGCTCAAATGTGCTTAACATTTCAATCGAATTGCTGTTTGGGTTGATCAGCATTCCACCTCTCACTCATCTTCGCTCAATCTTTCAGCAATGATCTCTGAAACTTTTTCATCATCAGAATCCTATTGCATGGTTGCTATATTGACAAAAGCGATGCGAAAACTCAACGGATCAACAGTCATTTTTTCTTTCGTCCTCGCTATTCTTACTGATAGATACATACTTTCTAGTAACTGAGAAAAAATGGTTCGAAAGTTGTTTAGGAAAATAAGAGTAATCATCGTTTTGGAAATGGCGCTGATACCATTTCGATGAGGGGGAGAAAATTCTTTCATCAATGTAATTAGAATGATGATGTTTTTGTTTGAATAATGGCACGGCTAATTGCTTTAGTGAATACGTGCGTATGGCACAATAGAATTAATTAAAATATGATAAACAACTATCTTTTAAAACTTCATCGCTACCAGTAAGCAGTTCACAAAACAACGACACCGACAACGTTATGTGCATCACTCCTCCAACAACAAATGTGCGGAGGAGTGATGCACGTAACATGTCATGCAGGCAGCTCGTCATCATTCTCGCTTCAGTTCTTGCTATAAAATATTCATTGAAATTGCTCTTGCCCGAAGCCAGTGACCTATAATCTTCGGTTAATCAGTCATAGCAGCACTCTCAACAGCTATTGATCTTAGTTAGTTGCACGTTATTGTCTATATGTTGTGCTAGAGTGACGCTGCTTGCAGGAACGGAAACGAGGAACAATAGCCTTAGGCGCATCGTTGTCATAGACGATGGATAGATAGATTCGTATACAACATTCGATAGGACAGCATCGTCTAGGTGAGGTTGAATGCTGCTCCGAGCATCTATTTGACGAGTTGTCTCGAATAGTACTAAGAAACACAATCAGTGCTTTCTGATATTTCTCTCTTTCCTTCATCTTTCAATTCGTGCAATTTTAATGATGATGTTGATCGATTTATGGATATCACATAATGCCTTAATTAGTTTTATTATTGATGTGACAACATTTGTCATGCAGCAGGCATGTACAACCAACCCAATTTCCATTTCTCGGGCAGTGTATAAATTAATGCTATCATGCATTCGCTTGACTGATTGCACAGAACAAAGCAATCAAATTTTTTTGCATTTGCTCTCCATTTTAAGAGTTTTATTGGAGCTTGAGAAGACTTATTTGGAATTCTTGCTATCGCTAACTTCTTATCATCATACTTTATATCGTTAGTCTTTCGTTGAATCGTAAGAATATAACTACGGTTTCGTATTAATTCGAACGTTATAGGTGGACCGATAGCAGTAACGATCATAATGTGCTATCATACTGCTTGTTTATGAAAAGATTGCGAGTGTTATTGGTGCTGCATGATGAGTGGTCAGCTCATGGGTATTCCAATATGGGCTTGTTACGCATTCGGAGCATGTTTTTTGTTGCTAGTAATTGTTCTATTACTCGACTATTTCGTGATTCGAAGAAATCCACTTGGTGGTACGTGTTGTTCAAGGTCGCATAAATTTGTACATTTCAACGACCATACCATTCATCAGAAACGAAGCACGAATATCGTTCTCAATGTTTGATTGATTGACGACTCATTGACGATTCTTCGTTTATTCGTGGAGCATGCTCCTTAAACATTTCTTTTGACGCCAATCTATTCACAGGTAATTTTACTGATTGTTAGGATGATGATAGCTTTACATGTAATTACCATTTCACCAAGTCAGAGCATCTGCTAAGTAAAAAATAATAATGTCATTTAAGGTTACTATTATGATGATTGTGCTGCATTTTGTTGTTCAGACTCTCACATTAAATGAGCATAATACACATTTCAATGCGTTTCAATCCCGAAAAAAACTTTCGTCATGAATGATTTCAAACTGTCAAATTCGTCTAATCGAGGTTTATTTTTCTGAAATTGCTGTCATGTTCAGTTATTATTTTAAACATTTAAATACGCTCAACTTTTCACAAATTATGAAAAATTTCGTTAACGGTGAAGAAATGTTGTAGATCCTTTTTTTTTCAGCATTAGTCATATGACCTGATTGAAAATGGAGAAAGTCGCGAACTCGCTATTCGAGACCCTTGAGTGATGATTATTCATTATGACATCATTATTGGTGATTTCATAATGACAGTTCTTTTACACGTGGATGTTAGCATTCATTAAACATGATCATCAAAAACAATTGCATCGCTTTCATTTTCAACGAACAAAAGTTGTATTCAATTGAACGAACGCCTTCAAAAGAAAATACTTGTATTCAACTTGAAGAAACAAATTTTTGGATGGAAAAAAATGAAACTCTGGAAAGTGCAATTCTCCGCTCATAAAAAAATGTCTTTTGGCCTAAAAAACAACGCCTGTGAAATTTCACTCCAAAACAATTGGTTTGAAAGGTCCAAAGGAATCAATTAACGACCTTACAGATCAGTATTTTTTGGACGAAATCTCACACAGATTACTTTTAGATCTGCAGCTCGGGAGGCAACATTTTGAGGCATTTATTTCATTTGTGATTTCTTTACTGCTCCAGAAACGTCTGTCGAGGCCAAATGTAAATAAATCATTATAAGCGAAGTAGCCTCTGCATGCGTTATTGGGATATCGATGACAGTTGTTTGATATACACACATATACGTCTGTGGTCGCTGATGTTTCTTGCTTATTTATGTAATTGAAAGCATTTTATGCGATATTCCTGTCATAATCATATCAACATTTGATTGTCCAACGTATTGTTTCGTCTAAGAAATGATCAGATGAAATTCATCAAGTATTCAACTTAAATATACTTCAATTTTGGGTTTTGTTGTGTGTTTTTCATGTTGCTTTTGATTCTCCTTCATCGTATCATGAGCCTTTCAGAATAAAAGCAATAGTAAAGAATATATATTCTGTTGTTTTTATTTGTTCATTTTGTTGTTGCCTCAAATAAAGACGAACATATATAAAGGAATGTTCGGAATGGCAATTCAGTTTTGTTACGCAAGAATGCAATATTTTATTACTATAATTGAACGTTCTCTTAAATATTATTCACACCTTCCAATAATAAATGGAATTCAGTTCGACATGATATGTTATTGTGCAATCATGTCGTAAATTTCTTCTAATATCTATCAATCGACGTATCAAAGTAGACATCGATCGATTTGATGAGTAACCGCGCTGATGACAAGCAATATTGTAATTACTGAAGTTTATCAAGGAGTTGAAGTCGTGTAAAGTGAGACGAGACCATGTCGATAACGAAATCAAGTGCCGTTCCATCGCGCACCTTATCCTAAGCAAACATTTATTCATTCAAGAAAGTGCAAATTACGAGGCAGTAAAACGCAAAGATTTTGTGCTGAATCGGTTGTTAGCGTGTCATATCGCTTCTTTATAAATTTCAATCCAAGCATTCCAGAAACATCAAAAATTCAAGGATACTAACGCTAAATATTGTTACTATTATTGTTGAGGTCAACGTCAGGATGAATAAATAAGTCGTAATAAATAGACGGCACTATGCAAAACCAGCACTACCTAAAGAGAGCAGGCGCAAACGGCTCCCCATATACTTCAGTCAAAAATACGGTGAATGGATTTACTAGATGTGCTTTCTTATCTGCGAAAAGCGCAGAAAGTGAGCGAGCTCTGTAATGATTTTACTGCAAGAAAAACAAATGGCTTACTTGTGTTATTGTTGCTGAAGCACTTGATGACATATCACACCTATCCGTCGCCTCTGAACTGTTCGGTTGTTGTGGCCTATTACTATGCAGACGCCATTGCTTCTGAATTGTTTTTGCAGCGTTCTTGTACCGTATCTCTTCGGCTTTTCGATGCACTTCCTCATCAGTCGACGCCGACAATTCAGATGCACGATTTCTGAGTGTACGATGACTCGGAGTCGATGATGACGATACAGAAGAAGTTGAATCTTCAGACTTTGATGCACTTGAATCAGAATTTGAAGCGGTTGATTGACGAGACGCTGATGGTTCACTTAAGGTCAAGAACTTATTTTAAGAGCACGAAGAGCGCAATTCATATTGTTTCATTGGACAAACGGAAATCTGATTAACCGATTGCCGGAATTTGCGAACGAAAAGAAGAAGTTTTACCTTGCATTGACTAGATTCTTTAGGTCGGTTGAGTGAACCGGCGTTAAGGAGTTGGCCATAGTAGTGGTATGATTGGATAATAGCGACTGTTGATTATCGCTCGTGGTACTGTTTCGCAACTGGTGTTGACTAGCTGCTGTAGTGTTCATTAAAGAATCAGATAAATTCTTTTTGTTCGATATCCGTATCTTCTCAGCACCGGTCGCGCATCTCTGCTGTATCGACGATATTCTGAATATTCTTCATTTCGTCAATAATTCTATGCAATTGTGATTATTGTGAGGCGAATTATCCATCTGACCACCCTTGTATAAACGTTCATTGCAGGCATGGTAACATAATTTTGCTAACCAAATGATCTTTATCTATTAATAACTCCGTGAACGGACCGATTTTTTGCTGTTTTACGGTCGTTAGCTGCTGCTTCATTCTTGTTCTTCTCATCAGCAAGTGCTTTGATTTCCTTTCGAAGATTTTGAATAACCACACTGAAAGTAACCAGTGATCAAAAAGTTTAAAAGAAAAAAGTGAAGCATACGCTCTCTAAAAACTAACTAATATAATACTAATGACATCGCTTGCGTTCAAAGTAATAAACGCGAAATATCGACAATGCTTTATGCATGATAAATGGTAGCATCCTCTTGTCAGCATGACAACTTCACGATCATACTGTGAAGTGTTGAATCTGAGTGCATCTGTTCACCTTTTTGCTCTAATTCTCTGCTGAGCTTTATCAAGTTCCTTCACAAGTTTCGATTCACGCTGCTTTTGCTCGTCACCAATTTTGAATGAATGGTTCGTAATCGGTCTCTTTGAAAGACCAAATGCATTGAGATCGCGGTGCATCATACCATTTCGATGTTTTAGTTGCATTTGTAAGCGAACAACCAAAGCGATCAAGTCAGCACGATTGCATGTTGACAATGCTGCAAATCAAATGAAAATTCATGATGAACTTCCATAACAAATTTTAACTACATACTAATCTTCCTTGATCGTTCCGCACAACCCATTTTATTTATCTCATTTCAAAGTCAATGAACATTTATCAGTTGGCTTACATGCAGTTACTGCTTCTGAATCGCGATATATCTTTTCCAGTCTTTTCTTGAGTTGTTCATTTTCATTCTTCAATTGTTCTACTGAATTATGCAACGTACTCAGCTGTTCACGATGTATCAGTGTTTGTTCTCTGAAAAAAAAAACTGATTCTCTCAATTGATTCGGTTTCAGTTTCACGCCAAAACACTCCACTTGGATTTCATTTCTCCGCTTTGATCTTACGCAACCACGTAAAAGCGCATTTGAATCCAGTTGGAAGTTCTTATACCTTTCAGTATCCGCAAATTTCGTAATTTTCTGTCAAATAACCACCAACGACAACGGTTTCACCAATAAAGAAGGCATCATAGCAATAAAGAAGATGACATTTTGCAGCAAATGATGATGGACTACCATCTAATACATAGACTTGTTATTCGAAACATCAACCTGGAGAGTGGTGCAGCCGAATTAAGGCACTTTTTGAGTCGTTGGCATTCGTTTTCAAGTGATATGATCTGCTCGCGAAGATCTGTGATTTTCATGGCTTTTCGATCGTCTTTTAATCGACTGCAAAATCAGTTTGAATTAAGCCCATCTAAAAGTAGCTGGTAAGCAATAAAATTCTGGGAAAAAAATGCTTCGGAAACTAGAACAGTCCACTGGAAAATTTCGAAACTAGAATTGCTGATAGAACTTTGAACATTTTGCGATAAACCGAAATCGTTTATTGCTTTATCTTTATTAGTAACAACCTATTCGTCGTCTTATCGTATTGTAGCGCGACAAATGATAACTAATAATGACAAATAATATAAGCCACATTTGAATAGAAACAGTTCAAATCGCTTACTTACGATAAATTTTTTGAGGAATAACCTTTCGATCAACACTTCTTGAGAAATTTCATAATTTCGGCTCATTAATAAGATGATATTGATAAGGAAAGGTGATTGAAAGATTACGAAATGAATGAGATAAGTAAATGAATAACTCATTTTAGAGTCAAACACTTTGGCTTAACAACATTTAACGTTATGATGCAGCTGATTGCCTGAATCCCTTACGTATGATAAAATATCATACAATTTGATTGGTCAAGAATGGTTGTTGATTGAATGAATATTCAAAAGTTAATTTTTTGCTTATGATAATCCGAGTTGAAGAGAAATGATTAGTATGAGGTCCTATCAATACAAGCTCTGACTTCGAATTTCTTTATGGTTTCTGAAGTTGATTTTAGTAGAAATTGAATGAGGGTCCTATGACCTGATTTATTCTTATATTTTATTTCCTATTCATCTATTAAATTGTGCCTTTTTCGCAGTTGTATCTTACTTACGATTAGTGACACAACTATTGAGCTCAATTTGATCAAATCCCTTTACTTGCATTGATTTATTTTATTACTTTCTCGTTTATTACTATTATCCCATTTCTAGTCAGTTTTCCTTAACGCATCGTGTGCTTCATCAATCAGTTCACTACTTGAATATCTGAATAGCAAATCGTTTATTGCCCAAAGCAATGTAACCAAAGTGTTTTACAAAGACGAAATGTTCTGGCACTAAACCGTTTCTACACTGAAAACGTCCACGCCACAACGTCCCTTAAGTGTTCCTTATAATTCACTTCTGAAACACCTAAGATGAAGATGCGATTATGAACTATCGAAGAATTGAAATATGGTTTAGGGCGATTCGTTTGATCAATGCTAATCTAAGTGACAATAGTTTAATTGATCAGTTTATGGTAATTGAATTAGAAATAATTCGATTTTTGCATTGACGATTTGTGCATTTAACGATTGTTTTGGTTCAAGTATTTGTCGAGAAGTATCGCAGTTTTTGATTAGAACCCGCGACGAAGACGAAATTTTTTCTTTCTATCGATTCATCGCTTAATCGTAATTATTGCAATAAAGCAACAATTTCGTTTAAAACGACGGAAAATGTAAACGTCAATTGATTTGTCCATTCTTTTCCGCTGAGGTTACAATTATGCTTTGGTGTGCACTTTTGTAACGTTTCATATGCTCAGTTCGAATGAACTGTTCATATCAGCACAAAATTTGATTCATTTCGTGCACAAATTATTGCTGAAAGAACATTCGAGGAAGCAAACAGTGAAACAATATTAATGTAGAGGAAAAGCAGATGAGATGATAATGAAGCAAGCAACGATAGTATCAGTTCTCTCGAACAAACATACTTGACTTCATCGGATATTTCACGTATCATCGCCTCATATTTGAGATTCTTCTGTTGTAACGAATTAACGATCGTTTGACGATCGTCTACACTGGTTGAATTTTTTGACTGAAATACAGCGACACTTCAAGATCGTGAAAATTTTATGAAAACTTGTTTAGCACAATCGTTCTAGGAAACGGTATGTATTACAAATAATTCGGTCTTTTTAATCTTGCCACTACGTTCAGCATTTATATTCCATATGAAGCTATGCAATAGTCCCAAAATTTCAACGAAAAACTCATAGCATTTTCAACATGATCAAGTCTTTTCTTGAATTGACACTCTCTTTTCTGATTTTTGAATTCAGATATATAAAAGTTCCTATTCGAAATTCAATGTGTTGATAGTTCTCATTCCAAGGATAAATGCAGTAAATCTTGAATATTCGGACACCTCTGTTTCGAAGCTCATTCGGATAATGAAAACGATTGGATAAAACAAAATCCAAACATGCATTAAAAGTAACATCAGTGGAATAGAGCTCAGCCATGAGCAAACGGTAAGTTAGAGTTGGGAACCGAAGGTTTTTTTCGGTAGCTATCGATCGAATACCCTATCAGTGGTCACCGAAATTCGGTTTTCCGTGGCCACTGATCGATCAGGTTTGAGTTTGTGGCCACCAAATATGTTTACCGGACGGTGACTATTGACCGAAATTCGTAGGCCAGTAATCCAACTTTACATTGTAGGAATGTTAAAAATACAACCATCACTGATTTTTGGAATATTTTCCAATCCTGGTTTACGTTGGTTATAAAACACCCTAAGCGAGATTCCGAAGAAAAATATTGCAACTGGAACTGGTGTAAAGTACTAGTGTTGCAATGAACTGATTGTGAGTGTTACTCAATTTTTTCGATTTCTCTCTCAGGTTTTTGAAGCACCGATTAGAAATGATTTTCGCACGAAAGGCAACGATAATTGTATTGGCGTCATTCAATGATCTCTTTAACCATTGAATGAACGATGTGATTGTGCATGGCAGAAGGTGGCTAGCAGATCGTTGCGATTGAATTCTTTGCAGCTATCTCGTATATATAATGCACTGAAAGATCAGTCTATAGTGTTTCCGGCCGTCTAAGTACCTGACGGTCCGGGTACGTGAGGTTTCACTGTATCAAACGCTGCAAGCAGTAGACAATAAAGCAAGCACAAACAACAAGATCGCAGATAAAAAACTGCCTGCGAGATTAAGACGTTACGCAATTGGTGATCCTTTTTGGCCGCTTCATTTGCACATCTTCTTAATCGAGTCTTCAAAACATTGTTCTCCTTCAAGATTATCGCGTAGTTCTGCAAAAAAAAAAAAGTTTTTAAGTAAAACAATTGCATTCGATTTTCATCCGTTAAAAAAATGCTTCGCAACAGGAAGTATATAACTTTATTTCTTCATCAATATCAGTATGTTTCAAACGATATAATCAGATTCCAGCGTAATTTCATCGCGTCATGTTTGATGGAATACTCCAGTCTTATAGACTCTTCGTTTTCACAAAGAAATCACGCAAATTAACAAAGAGTTATACACACGTACACGCTTCATATTCATTAATTTTTCTTGCAAATCATCAATTTTTTCACGACTCGGCGATCTTCCATAACTATCACCTCGTACAGCATACGCAGATAACGCTGAAAGTGGGCGTTTTTCATGTTCTGTACATTTTCATGAGAAAGTGCTCTACCAAAATATCACATAAGTATGTACATATGACATAATTTGTAACACATCTTATTAATTATGTTTTTCTGATAGCAGGGAATCAGCTGCATGCGATGATTTGAAGAAAGCATTGGATAATGCAGCAAGCCTGAGCATATGTGCTCCTAATGCTCCTAATATTGCTCCTAACAAAAATGATGCTCCTAATATTCCTATATTGAGATGATATCTTTATATATATCTGGATGTGAAGGAATCCTTCCCGTATCATGTGATAGAGCAGAGTCTGCTGTATGTGAAGGCGGGGATGGATCATGGTGTTATTGAGCGCTTTTGGATGTGCAGGTCGCTTGAAAATAGACTCTTCATTTTCCAAGATTAGTGTCTTATCGACCATGCCAGATTTCAAATGTATAGAATTCGGCAGTTTAAGCGTTTCTCTCAGTTGTATGGCATACCTTCAGAAATTTTGCTGCATCTATCGAATCAACAATAAGCATTATCAGAGAAGATATTTTGGATCGTCAAATTTTAAAAATAATTAAAGCACCTCGTTTTTGTAGGTCATTATCCACATTTAGTGGAAGTAAAGTCACGGATGATGGTTTCAGATTCAGTTTTGATTTCTTCTTCATTGACTCCTTCGCACTGCTACTTCCATAGATCTTCCTGAGCAGTTCATGTCGATTTATCGTACCTCCTCCTGCTGTTGCTGCTGCTGATGTGCTTGCGTAGATCAGTTGTGCATCTCAACAAATCTCTTCTTTTTTTTCGCAATAAGCAAATTCAACAGGTGCTTCAGAAGTGCTCAATTTGCAATTCATCCGATTTCAGATGAATCCGAACTACCAGAGAAGCCAATCAGTACATAATCAACCAAAACAACTTGAGCGTAACCTAACCATCGTTGCTCGCCCGATCAATTGAATTATAACGGCGGGTAGGACGATGATCGCCAGTAGAATTATTGCCACTTGAGGTTGTTGCCGAATAGTGATAATTGCTGGCGGTTATTGTTTTTACGATGGACGATTGAATTTCTTGAGGAAGTTGCGGATATTGAGGGCGAGAAGAATGTGATGAACGTTTTTTGATAATGTCGCCCATTCCCTTGCCGTTGTTGCACAGAAAACTCACATGAAGAACTGATCAATGAAATAAAATAACTTTATTTGAAGAAACTGCACATGAGACGAACACTGTTCTAATCACTAAATAGCCTTTTGATAGTAGCAATTTTCTGGATTATACCTATATCATTACAAAATACGTGTGCATCATAAAGAGCGTAATACATGCCAATGACTGACAGTATGTTATGTGTGCTACCTTGTAATTTCTCTCGTTTCAGATAACTTTTGATTCTCATATTTAGCTGTTCATGGTTGAATTATGCACTGAATGAAGAAGCGTTGAGCATCGAACGAAAATGCTCAAAACAATAACGAGCGCTTTATTTCACATTTTTATGCATGCATTTGCTGCATAATATAGTACGA